TTAACAAAATACAAAAGGAGAAGAAAAAACAAAACAAAATGAGTATTGCAGAGAAGCCATCTTCAAAGTAAGATACATTATTTACACTGAAAACAGAACGCTACGTCATTTTCCTTTTTCCAGGAGAGAGAAAAATAAAGGTGAAATAAATAAGACCAGAAATGCTTTTTCGTCCACATTCACAGCATGACAAATCATATTCAACTCATTAATGTCGACCCTGTGCGGTCAGAACAGACTGAGATATTAGTAGGTAATTCGGTGATTATTGCCAAAAGCCTTAATCTATACATTATAATATTCAATACATACTCTGTGTTTTGTTTAGAAAAAGGAGACATTTGGAAACTGCTACTTGGATGATTGTACAGCTTAAATACTTCTAGATATATATATATATATGTATACTTTAAACCCTTTTGTTCATAGCTTTAACTCATTGGCAACTTTGGAAGCAATGTTTTTGAAAGCGATGGATGAGCCGGATATCCTTTTGAACCTGACGCCATTGAGGGAGAGACGGGGAAGCTTGCAAACCTCCATCTCCCACTGCACCAGGTTTTCAGCTCGCCCGTCTCCATGGACGCAAAGAAGCAGGAAACTCTCTTGCTGTTCGTAGTCGCAGTTGTTGGCGTCGAGCACCTTGCGAATCTCCCGCATGATATCACAGGGCTCCATGGAGCTGGTGGTCCTCATACTCCAAGTGAATCTGAGGGAGCGGGGTTTACTGTCTTTATTTTCCCCTTTTTGATCCCCAGGTACATGGCGACTGTTGGGAGAAAGAGACACGGAGGAGAGGTTTTAGCCTCACACAGTGTTCCTCCTGCATTTTACAAAGCAGGATCTGTGAATATATTTGAAAGAAAAACATTTTATTTTGAAAAAATATGTTTTAAACAGGCAGAAGCAGCAGGAATTAGTTGGAATTAAATCATGTTTTACACAGCTCTGATGCATTTCCACATGAGATTTTCTAGCCCCAGTTTGTTTATTTTCATATGAGCGAAACAAGCAACATGAAAAAAAATCATTTAAGTCTCAGCATGAAGCTGAAAAGCAGTGAAACTGACAAAATGCAGTAAAAACTTAAGATTGCACTTTATTTAAAGAAGCAAACCTCAAAGGTTTAGATTTCTTTCTACACAACTTTTATCATCATTCTTTACTCACCATTTGTTTGCATTTTGAACTCAAATATTTCACATTTACTACATTTTGTCAGTGGTTTGATAGTGAGCAGCAAGTCTGAAAAACCCAGAAGACCGCTGCACTTTCTGCAAGCAACTTAAATCTGAGCCCACGTTTGACTCATTTCTTCAGGACCTACATCTCGTTGTTTTTATTATATTAGACACTTAGATTAGTCACACTTTACATTACTTCTAAATCTGGGATCCCATCTTTTTGCAGTTTTATATCCAGTGTGTTGACTTAATATTGAGTCAAGATGAGGCGCGCAAACTGTGACTGAAAGTCATTTATTTAGTTTTATAATCATATAAAAGATAACCAGTCTGGCATATTGGACAAATTAAGCCCCTACGATATTTATACACTACAGCAGTCAAATATTTTTGAGAGTATTAATTAAAAGACTCTAGTGGAACAGATTAAGCAATAAAGGACAGTAATCACTGGATGAAGCTGTGATTAAAAGATAAATATCCAACTTAATCTTGTAAATGATCTGTAATTCAAAGATATTAGGGTTAGTAATGTAAGTACTGGGTAACAATGAAAAGCAAAATTAACCTGTACGCATTAGAAATGGTTCTGTTCTAGTCCTCGTCTATATTTTGACCTGTTTTTGCTCCTCCCATCACTTCATTTTGAATTTAATTTTCATTTCTTATGTTCATTAGTTTCAAATTCATTTACATTGTAACCAATATGATCATTCAGAGGATTAAAACGTTTCTGGGTTTTTCCACATATAAATTTTTATTCTCTGGAAATTAACTTGTATGTAAACTGGAGCTAGACACATGGCGGCAGCCTTTGAGCTTCAGGAGTGACAAAATAAACAAGCATGCCATGCTAACAAAAGTAGCTCACAAATACAGTGCCATGCAAAAAAACAAACAAACAAAAAAACATTATGTCAAAAAACACTCAAAGACGAGGCTTTAAAGATGCAACAGTACATTCAAACGTCCCTGAAGGGAGTAAGCACAAAGTGGTTCCTATGCAGGGGGAAGGGGATTGAGCAAATTGGATGATGGTGCAGACGGAGACAAACTGAAGCCTACGTTCGGAAGGGAAGACCCACTGAACATGGGGGAGGTAACCTCACCTTGAGCCCTCAAGTCTCCCGTTTCTCTCAAACTCGGTGGAGACTCTGGGGCGTACAAGAAGATCAGACGGGGAGGAGGAGTCAGGGCGGGGGGAAAAAAGAAGAAACAAAAAAAAGATGTGGGTCTTGCATGACAATCATTTTTTTATCATTTCCAGTGAAAAATCATATTTAAAAATGAGAGAACGTGACGAATACTTGAACGACGACGAGAGCCACCACCAAAAAACAGAAAAAGAAATGGAAGCTTTGACTTCCATTGAAATCAACAAAGAGTCGTGAGAGAGAGAGAGGAGAATAAATAAAGAAATCAAACAAAGAAGTGATGACTGTTCATGTCCCAGACTGAAGCCAACAGGAGCACACACAAAGAAAAGCTTGACAGCGGTGTGTCGACGCAAAACAGCAGCAAAATAAGAGGAGATGCAGCCTGCAGGCCACATTCAGGTGAGGTAGGAAGTGAAGGCAGTGATGCAGCGCTACTTGACTGGACTTTATCGCCTCTCAAAAAGAAAAAGATTTTAATCTACATCTGAACAGCACACAGCTAAAATAATAAAAAAGCAGATCCTTCCACTAGCCTATAGGATGACAGGAGATAATAGGGGAGTAAAAAAATAAAAAATAAAAATTACAAGAAAGCTGATTATTGCTCTGCAAACACGTCCTTTGACGATGTATCGTACAGTAAATGTATATAAAATCCCAGTTTAAGCCTTTTAAATACACTGTTAGTGAACACGTGACCCATCATGATTCTTTCTATTTAACAATTTGACACGTGACATTTTAAAGACGTCTACTTGCATTTGGACTAATTATCAGAATTATTTGATGACTTTAAATATTACATTTAAAACAGCTTCTGAAATGCTTACCTTTCCTAATATTAACAGTAATTATTATTATTTTATTATTATTTTTTTAAAAGGCAACTGATGATTAAATCCTGATTTGAGCCGTGTGTGTGACGCACATGAAAACAGACACCGTTTAGAGAAAAGCTCCCTCCAACATGAAGCTCAGGCTCTACAAACCAAACCAAATGTTCACAGTTTGTCCCTGTGACCGAAGCTGCAGCACGTTCAGCCGCGCTGCAGAAGCGCGCTCGCTCTGATCGACAGAATCAAGCTCACCAACTATTTTTAAGTCACAAACGTGAGCCGTAGACAGGACTTTGTGTATATGTGCGGTTCTGTAATGGCTCTCCTACCAGCTGGAAGACAAGCTGACAAACTGGGCAGTGAGACGACATGCGGGACATTTTAAGGAAAGCACGATGAAATCTTCTGCATTAGTCAGAAGTAATTTGCCTTCCTTGTTTGTCCTCATACAAGTATTTCTACAGCAGGCATAATGAAGAAAATTCTTTACATAATGTGTTTCATGTGCAGTTTTTTCCCTCCATAAAGCAAAAATGACCTCTTTGGCTTACCGCTGGATTCATTCTGAATCCTTTACTGTTCCTGCGCATCTTATACACAGGAAAAATTAATTTCCTAGCCTCACTAGACTCGAGACAAAGACTCAAACAAAGACTCGAGATAAAGCAGGGGATTCCTTCCTACTAACCAGGTTGATTTCACAGGAAAATTTACTGGATTGCAATAAAAATTTAGACCTCCTGCAAGATCTTTCCCTCAAAGTCTTGACTGCCAGAAAAGACTTTTTTGGGAGGATGCTGAACAACTACAAACAAGAAAAAATGTCTGTACTGTAAGACAAGATTAGATTAAAAGCGAATAGTCAGTAATCTCCCCGTTTCTCAGACAGGATGGGTGTACTGTGTCAGGCTCCCAGCATGCATTGCAGCCTGCAGAACAGAAAACAGGACGGGGTTGTGGAGGAGGGACAGAGTCCAAACTCCTGACAGCTTGAGGGACTCGACAACAAGAAGACGAGCGAACAGACAGGACTGACAGCAGGTCCTGGGTCGGCCAGAGAGGCTGTGAAAAATCACAAGACCGAGGGGGGAGGGTGAGGCAAGGCGGGGTGAGGCAATGTAGGAAGGGAAGTCTGAAACTCAGACTTTAATCTCAGGAGAAATTGAGGGATGGAAACAGCCCCTTACTCTAGATCTTCATCTTCCTACAACTCTCTATATCTTCTGCTCCTGAATCTGAAAGAAAAAACGTGAATCTGAGGATGTGCCGGAAATCTCAGTGGACTCATGACAAGAAAAGAAAGAGAAGGAAAGAATATTTAAATGAATGGCATGAGGACAGGCTGAAAAGAAAAAAAAGAAAAGAAAGAAAAACATGGAAGATAATGAGAAGGAAGGAAAGAAGGAAAGGCTGAAAGAGACTGGAGGGCAGAAGACTTACTAAGGGTCTTTCCTCCCTGGGTAGAAGGGTTGGCAGGCCCTGTTTTGGCCGACTGCCGTTTGGCCGGGTCAATACTGACCCTAGGCAGAGAGGAAGAGCAGCAAGAGGTCAAGGTTAAAGGACACAAGAAGGTAAGGAAGACAAAAAACACACCGGGAGGAGAATGTGAGTGAACCTAAAATGTCCCGAGGACGAGGAAAATAAAGGAAACTCGTTAAGATCAGAGATGAGTTTTTAGCAGAAATGTACGGCGGCCCAAACCGGACAAAATGAAGTTAATGCCTATAAGACGAGTCAAAAATGGAACCAAGTAAATAAATAATATTGTTGGTTAAAATGGAGATTTTTTTTAAAAAAGTGTAGCTAAGACTTTTCATCTTCAGAGGAAATTGAACATAAGACAGTTTAATAACTCCGCTTTTTAGTTTATTTTTATGTCTGTTCTTTGTAGCATGAAAAAAAAATCATGCAATTGTTCCACATTTTCTGATTAATCCTTATTTAGATAATTAATATAATTGGACTTATTTTTAAGCTAGTAAACTTACTATTTTTGCTCTTTGTTGCGAACTTTTGCAATTGATATTTTCAGTTATTTTTACTTAACAGCAAGATCTTAAAATTGATGTCGCAGACCAAGATTGAAATAGTGACTGCACCAGGGTTCACAGGAAAATAAAGATAACTTTAAACTAAAAAGAAATTAAGCTCAACTCTTATTTGAATACTCCATTATATTCATTTAACCAACTACACAATTTATTACTGTATTCGGTTTTATTTTCGACTCATCTTATAGTCTTTTGCTCTATTTTGTCACAGTGAGTGCGCCACAGAAATGAGGACAAACACAAAAACCCTAGTGAGACGCCATGAGTGGGAATGCAGGATGGTGATGACACCTGAGCAGAACCGACAGGAGGCTCTGGATGACGATGATGCTGCCAAAGGAAGATGACAGTTTACAAATCAGCCACCAGAGGGAGCCATGGGCCTCAAGACAGCTCCCTGAGAAGGCCGCAAAGCTCCTCTGATCTTTTGATATGTACATCAATGACTGGTTCAGTTTGGCCACAGCTACCATGCTGTTTCACAAGATCCGTTTGAGGAATTCAGTGTTTAATAGCCTCCTCTCTTAAATCCCAACCCCTATTGGAATGGCTGATCCGACTACTTGGAACGTCCGCAGGAAACCATCAGCATGTCCAAACAAAATAAGGCCTCCTTTTATAAAGTGGGACATTAAGAAAAGTTAAGAAAATGTCTGAAGAGACCCATTTACACTATCGTGTCACCACACACCCATTTTAAAACAAAAAACACCTTGTCGTAGTGAAAAAGTCTTACACATTGTTTAGTATGGGCCCAAATGCTGGAAGACACTGAACGGAAAGCAACGAGGGGAGAATATTTCCAGCACCTGCGTCTAAAACAACTTTCTGAAGACACAAAAATACTTTGAGAATTAGTATTTTTGTGTCTTCAAACATTCTCTGCAGCTTTTGCTTGCCTGACAGATAACCGTCAGAAATGAAGTGCACTGAAAGCAAAACATGTTACAGAAGAAGTTCTCATTTTCTTCAGTAAAAACAACCTTGCTGATTTAAAAAAGAATCACAAAATTAGAAAATATTTAACAGAGCATTTTAAATACGGTCATTTCCATGTTAAGTTTAGGAACTGTGGAGTTTTTATGTTGATTTATAAGTTGAAATCCTAATCTGTGATTTGTATTAGTACTAGTGCTGTCAGCGTTAACCTCGTTAGAATGACGTTAACGTCATGCTGACAGCACTAATTAGTACATTACAAAAAATAAAATAAAAATAGCCAAAAATGGTCAGTAAATAAATGCTGTATTATATGCCTGTGTGATCCCCCCCTTTATTTTGTTCTTCTGACTTAAACTGAAGGTAAAAAACTAAAGCCCAGAAAACCTTCAAAGCGAAAATAAAGGGCAACGAGACAAAGGAAGGCTGAGCGACGTGCCCTTTAGAAGACCCTTTCTCTGAACATGATGTTTGTACCCACCAAGGGAATGAACCAAGTCTACAAAAAACATCAAAGTTGCATTTATAAATGTACTTAACGGCTTAGAAACAGATAAAAATATAAAAATATAATCCTTGGTGGTTTCTTACTGACACAACTGGGTCAAAGAAAGTAAGAAAATATATATTTTGGTGAATAATGCAGCAGCAGAATAACCTACGATGAGTTCAGTCATTAAAATCAAGAATCAATGGCAGCTGTAAGAAGCAACCTCATGCATGCAATGACGACTGATTAGTGGCAAGCTGCTTTGTTTTTGCTGTATGGGTAATTGACTGATTGTTCAAGGAGTCCGGTCTGCTTTCCCAATCAGCCTTTATCCACCCACACCAACCGTGGCCACCCCGAGCACATTTACACACAGAGACCAGGTAAAACCCAATCAAAGCAAAAGGAAGTCTGAATTTTTATTTAAATTGCAATGCATTCATCTTAAAGGAATAGTTTGCCATTATGATAAATTTCAATTAGAAAGATGAAATGATTGACAGCTCCCTTATGTACAATAGATATATACGTGTATTAAAAAGAAAAACCAACACATCTCAGACAACGCTGTCAACAAAAGCTAACTGATACAACCTACCACCAATACTCAGTTGCTAGTTTTTACTACACCTGGCTACAAAGTCTAATCGTCCCACAGTAAATCCTCCTGTCCTCGTGAAAGCTTAAAATTCAGAGCTTCTGATTCTTCTGTATATTCGTTCTGCAGGATGTTGATACAGCTTAAAAAGGTCCACAACATAGCTCCTCCAGAACAAACACCTCCATAAAACTGTTTATACACAAAACAGCACAGATAGCGTTGGGCGATCCAGTATCCAGGGCAGGACGGGGAGTTTAATTTCCACTTGAAAGTAGGGCTGCCACGATTTGTCGACTAGTCACGATTACGTCGACTATCAAAATCGTCGACGACTGATTTAATAGTCGACGTGTCGTTTGAAGCTTTGTAAGATCGCAAAAGACGCAGGAATAATAGCAGGATTTAAGAGTGTAATAACGGACTGAAACAGAAGATGGCAGCACAGCATGTACAAGGATGCCAGCTGCCGTTAAACCCCGAAGAAGAAGAAGCAGCTGTGTCCCAGAATTCATAGCGCGGCCCAGCTTAGTTTCCAACAATGGCGGTAGCTAGTTAGTTTTAATATTACTCTTATTATTCTTTCTGGGTCACAAAATAAACGTTTAACATATTTTCAGGCGAGAATGTAGCTGTGTAAACCTCAAATATCGGCTCAGTTTATCAGGACACCACATATTTTCAAAAGCGCTCCGACGTTTTCGGAGACGTCTGTTACCCACTAGCTCGATAGCTAGCCGGGGGCTAGGTCACTAGCGCCGTGAGAACACCGGACTCCCGGCAAATTGTTTTCAAACCCACCGCCGTCTTTCGCGACTCAGGTTAAATATATATGAGTCACTTAGATAAATTAAAAATGTTGTTGTTTGGCTTTTTTTTTTAGTATTTTATTTGTTCCTGAGTAAATCGGTTTGGCTGAGATTAAAGTGATAGTTTTTACACAAGCAGACAACTGATTATCAGAAGTGTGAGATGCTCGAGAATATACTCCGGTGTCCTGTTATATTTTAGATAGCAAGGAGTTTATTAAACTTTACCGAAACAATCTGCAAATTTCATTAAAATTGAATAAACTATCATCTTGTCTTTATTTTTAGTTAGCACCTTAAAAGCTTAAAGCTGTAAGCTAATGATAGTTATATAAGAGCAGATGGTGCAATAAGCTGTAGTTTTACGTCCAGTGGATGATGATCTGATTAGTCGACTAATCGCATAAATAATCGGTGACTAGTCGACTATCAAAATAATCGTTTGTGGCAGCCCTACTTGAAAGATTAAGACAAAAAGAAAGTGGGCTACACCTGCATCACAGCCTCCTTCGCATACAAAAGGTGACAGATTTAGTCTAATCATCTGACTGCACTTAATGACCATAAATGGGCGGATATCAGCCGAACAGCTAAAACAGTACTGAGACCTAATGTCTGCCCAGGTCTTTTTTGCTTCCCCTGCTTTAAGCCAACAGTTCTGCTGACTCATGTAAGCTGTTTGTATGTGTGTAAAATGAGTTTGGTTGTCTCCACATATGCACACTTATCTTAAACTCAAATTTAAAAAGACAAAAAAACCAAGAAGAGTCAAACCAGAGACAGAAACCCTCTTAATCTGAACAGGAACTTGTGCTCATGCACACAAATGACAAAACAAGCCCACGTCCTAAGTGTAATTTACAATAGTGAAACATAATGAGACAACAGTGAGTCTGGTTACATTTAAAATGAATCTAGTAATCAGGAAGTGAAATATCACCGCCATCACTGACCTATGAGATCATCATCCATCTCCACCATCTAAAAGTATAACCTTCATGAAGGGAGGACTGCACGCACAAGTCCTCTAATACATAACACATAAAACCAAACTATTCCTTTAAGGACAATCTTACCTAGACATTAAACTATGTTACTGTGGGTTACTTAGAGTCATGTCAGTAGACCTAATATGTGAGAACAGAAATCTGTCACGTTAATCTGATTGTAAGCAGTGTGTGTAAATGCACCCAGAGAGCGTTACTGTTCTGCTAAGCAATGTGTTAGTTCAGTGCCAGCAGCCCCACACGTCTAAAGAGTTTCAGAGGAAGTTGTTCTGTGAGACTGTTGTCATTGTTTTGGTACAGAGTGAAAGGCAGTACAAGAGTCCTACCTTTTGGTAAACCTGAATGACATGTTTCTACAACAGAATCAGACAAAGAAACAGTGAAAATGGTGAAAGAGAAGTGAAGGAAAGGGGAGGGGGAGATCGAATGAGTGAACAAAAATGGGGTGATTGGAATCATTAACAGTGAAAGGTAAAGATTCATTTGTAATTTTTTTTGATTCAGTATTAAATGATTTCAATTCCTCATTTTAGGTCAGTCATTGCAGGTGGGATGTCACTGGCTTGGCTGCTGCTTTCAGTGCCTGAACTCGAGACTCTCACTGTGACAATATTAACCGCAATAAGAAGTGCACAAGAATCTGATGTCGAGATTTCAGGGAGGCCTGAAAATGCAATTTAAAGAAAAGCTATACAAGACTAACCTCGATTCAAAATGTATGCTTTCACTTTGTTTTGTTTTTATTGGACTATATCAAACTACAAGTATAATAGTAACACGTACAGCAGACATACAGCCCTAAAGCACGCGTAGTGCAGGAAATGATTACCGTATAAAAACATTACCACCCAAGATCTTTAAAGAATCATGGAAGTGAAATGATCTAAAATGGTCTGCTGTGTTTAATGTCTGAATAAAATGTTTGAATATCCAATCACAGTTTCTGGCAGCAACCAGGCAGCGACACACAACAAATGTAGACTTGAGCATAAATCACATTGTACAGGACAGTGAAGTGTTCCTCCAGCATGTAATTATTTATCTTAACTCTACATGGCACTGTGCTGATTGGCTTCAAATCTGAACAGAGTCACAGTAGATTATACGGCACAGAGCAGCGCTGGAGTCTTTCCTCTTTAAAAACATTAAAGCTTGAATATAATCACTTAAAAAAAATATTGCTTTAGAACAAATTAAACCTTTAAACTGACTGAGCAGAAAGGAGCTAAACATCAACCCGTCACACTTCTCTACAAAATGTGCCGCGACGCTTTTCCTCGCCTACCTGCGGGTGAGTTTAGAGGTGAGTTTGGAGAAAAGGTTGCTGGTTCCACGGCTCCGGGTCTGAGACAGAGGCGTGGCATCGTGGGAGAGAGTAGGGGAGGCCGGCGGCCCGTTGTACGTGGCCGTGCGGCGGTCTCTCAGCTGGCCACCGTGGAAGGTGCTGCGGCTGGCTGTGCCTCGGGGGAAGCGGAGACGGTCGGGCGTAGTGGTGTTGGCGACGCTGTGGGTGGACGCCACCGGGTTCCTCTGACTGCCGGGAGACACGGCAACGTTGCTGAAGTGGACGGAGGGGGAAGTTACAATTAAAGCAGGTTTTACACCGTTTTTCCAGAGCAGACGTGTACTTCAACACACTGAACATTTCCACGTATTTGTGCAGGCAGAGTGTGATGGAGCCAGATTATACACAGTCACAGAAGCTGTGACTGTGCAACATACTCGAGTACACTTCTGCAATGGAAAAATGTTTGTGCAGAGTCACTGCACGTGCCTCTGCATTCCTAAAATGTGTGGTCTGGTTATTCTACATGGACTTCTAAAACTGCCATGGGTTTCAAATACTGCAGGTTAGACATCAGCAGGGTAGGAAATTAAAATCACAACAGGACAAAGCCGCACATCAGCTGGTGGATTTAGACGCAACAGCCAGTCTGTGAATAACTAATTTGCAATACATTTTTTTTAAATTACAGCGAATGTTTTAGTCTTGCGACCACTGGCCTCACACAGCTGACCAACCACAAGCAGAAGCTGCATGTAGCACAGAGTAAGATCATCATTCCCTATAAACTGCTGAGCAGTTGTAGCCATAACTAACAGATTAGAACAGAGATGTCAAACGTCCGTTACCTTAGGGGACACATACAGCCCACTTTGATCTTAAGTGGGCCGGACCAATGAAACTCCCCTTTCTGTCAGTCTAAAGAAGTGCACATTTAATCTCTGAGGTATCTCAAGAAGAAGAAGTGCAATTTCAACAGCACATCTCAGTTTTACTAAGTGATAAAGAAATGTTGCTCTATTTAATGAAAGAAATCTTAGTTTATCTATTACGTTGGTGTATTATGGATGGCTGTGGGAGGTTTTCATCAGTAAGACAAGCTGTGAAAGTTATGAAAATACAGTTAAAAGTCTAAAACGTATGTCCTCCTTCACATTTACCAAAGACCGCCAGTGGGCCAGATTGGCATCTTTGCTGGGCCATTTCTAGCCCCTGGGCCTTATGTTTGAGACCCCTTGATCAGAGCATAAGTGTTTATTTAAACTGAATCCATAAAGCAGTGTCTGGTAGTACCAACAAGAGGCAGATTTATGATAGAGAGATTATCAGTAAACAAATACAGCTGGAAGATTAATTTTATGCATTTCATACCCACAGATGTGCAAGCATTTTGTGCAAACTGAGCTCCAGCACAGATCTGGTCTAAGAACCCAGTTTTAGTGCCTCCCTTTGGATTAAACGACTAATGCGCCACAAGGACTTCTGTCCTCATGTGTCTGTGAGTCATTTGAAGATTCTTCAAAGCAGAAAAATAGCAGGAGAAATCTTTATAAGATCATTACATTGTTTGAGACCAAACTGAAGAGTTGGGACTTTCTGGGAGCAGAAACAAAATTAGGTTAACCTATTAAAATGGCGGCAGGGCAAGGAAAATAGTATAAGTGAGGTCACATGACCAAAACATCTTTATGATAATATTTAAGGCCAGTGTGTGAGATTTATTGCATTAAATTCGGAGCAATTTTAGAACAGGAAACGTATATAAAGCAGCTGGAACCAAAATTCACCAGCAATGAGCTGTTAATTTCACACCCCAGATGTCAAGCTGTTGATATGTACAATGAAACAGTGAGTTGTGAGCCTGATCACTTAAGAGTCTAAACAGAAACAGACGAGGGTCTGAGGAAGCTGGGACAGCAGGGGAGCCGTGCGCAGTGGGGGCTTTTCCATCATTTCGGAGACCAACAGGTGCAGGACCCAGACAGAGAAAATCAGGGGTCAAAGTTCACAGCAGAGGATGGAGGAGAGATCAGGAGCAGAGCTGTGTGAGTGCGTTACTGCAATGTCGCAAGGAGGGGGGGGGGGCCCAAGCGGTCCTCTGGTTTATGGCTGGCAGAGGGATGATGGAAACATGGAAAAATATTATCACACACTGAGTTTAACCTATCGCTCGATTTCAGTGTGTAGATGCATATTTTTCTCCACTTCTCCTCTGGTTTGATCAGCGTCTGAAATAAACACTCAGAAATTTATCTGTCTAACTGACCTGCTTGGTCTCCCTGCTTCATTTAACATCTGGATTTTGGACAGTTTTGTGGAAATTAAATCTGGAAAAAAAAAGTCTTTATTTAGCCACCCCCTGAAAAAGAAGGTGGCTAGTCCTAGTCTATGTGTCTGACTTTATAGCAGTGCAGTTACATTTCAGATTGACTACAAGCACCTTGACTAAGCCTCATTTTTAAGTCTGTTTATGTTGTGGAAAACTAATGATTCTTTTGATTCAGTAACACTAGCATACAGATAATACGTACTGAGGTGTTTTGCAGATCCGAGTATACAAATGCTTCTTCTTCCTATCAACACCACCTCAGCAGTGTTACCAAACATCAGGTAAACCAAACAGTAGCACTAAGGCTCGTGTTTATATCTAAAAAGGTCTTCATTCTGACCATGAATCAGCACGTTAGACCAGCTAGACTTTGGTAGAGTAACAATAAAAAGAAGGAGGACATATTTTATTGAGGTATACCAGTCATTAGAGCAATTCATTTTACCTGCTCCTGCTGATGAGCATACATTTCAGACTCTGGCACCAAAAACCACTTTGCTTACTGTTTGTTGCAGGAAATGGTGTCCATGGTTTAGTTGTAGGGTTACAGAGTGTGAAGCTGGCTGGATGTGTGGGTTAGCAAGGGGCCAAACAGGGGCTGAGACATGAGAGGAGACAGACAGGGGGGTTTGGAGACCCTGTCGTCTTACTTGGGCGAGCAGTAGTCCAGAGCGTAGTAGGAGTGGGGCAGTGTGGCCCAGCCTGCCTGGCAAGCGTACAAAGGGCCGACAGTTTGATACCTCAGCCGCACCGAACTGGACGAGGCACCGAATGCAGCGGCTGCAAAGGCAGACGGGGGGCTAGTGGCACAAGCCATCTCAGTCATGCTGGTCATGCCGTAACGGGGGGGGGGGACAAAAAACAAAAACCCCACCCCGAATCACAAACACACAGGCAGAAATGGAAGATAAGTTGATGAGAAAAGGGGAAGTAAACAGAAAGAAAGGAGTAGAAAAATCGGGGACTGAGACAAAGGAAATCTTTTCTAGGGATCCATGTAGGTCCTTTTTCCCCTCTATTAACAAGAAAAAGGGGTTTAAATAACTTCGACCAGTGTGAGTTTGAAATACCATACAAATATACATTTTCACACAGGTTAAGTAGAAGAGTCTCTAAAACAGTATTTATCTAAATCTAAAGAACTACATACAGACTTCAGGACCCACAACAATGATCTCACTAACAACAGTTTACTGACAAGTGGGAAAACTCAAATTCTGCTCCCTGTACCGATTAAGATTTACAATCATCCTCCTCTCACCTGTTCTCTTTCCCGTTAGGAATGACGGAGAGGCGGTCTGTGTTGTTTCTGTCACTGCAGACATACGTGTTCCTCCTGGTCATACCCGCAGATGCAGTGTTATTCTGCAAACAGACAAATGCATTGCTTCAGTGGATGACCTTTTCTTTTAATGAAAGGCTCAAAGAAACATGTGTTACAGCAATTAAAGCACAGTGCACTTAAATTCAGTCTATCATGCTGCCAATCTCACCAAATTCGAATGAGTTTTGTTTAAACTTGGAAACAATGCGGCAGACTTTAGAAGTAAAACTTGTTTCCTTTGTACTGTACTGATATGTCCCTCGTGTCTTTGATCTCTTAAACATTTGCATTACTCGATTGTATATTAGAAGTAGTACTCGTCTGTCACATTTTGTATCGCCACAGAGGCTCACTGTGGTCGATGTGGACAGGTGGATTAATCTGAAGTGACTCACACAGAGACTGCCACGTCATGGTTTGGTGGCTTTAAAGTGATAGAGAGCAGCTTAAAAACATTTCCTAATCTCCAGACCATGAGACTGAATCACATTGTTAAACAATACTCGGGCATTGTTCGTTGTGTAAATCTGGACAACTACATCGACACACAAAACCAGAGCTCAGCAGTCGATTGCTCACTTCTTTGATCTTTTGTTTTTTTCCTTACAAGGTGGGATCACATGTGATGTCACCTGTTAGAGGAAGCTTTACCCATTTATGCATCATTTTCTCACAGATGCATCTGAACACAATAAAGTCTTTACACCATTATTTCCCCTTAAATGCAGTGGACTTCCCCAACGCCAGGAAGTACACACTGATGTGTAAAATTGGAATTTCCTTTTAAGTAACCATGACAGCCACTGTCACTAAACACACTCATTTAGCTTATCCCCCCCCAAAACTCTCATACAAAAACAGAGCAAACAATTAAGTTAAACTTTTAAGCCAACTGCTGAAACACTCACGCTCGGGGCCGTGGTGGCTCCTTTCCTGCGGTCAGGAATGTCAGCCTTGTTGGGGTTGTTGGCGTTGCCCAGCAGAGGGCTGGAGGGTGGTGCCCCGCGGGTTCCTGGGATGCTCGGTTTACGGAGCTGGACTCCACCTTCCTCTTTCACGCTGTTCTCAGCAGTAGTTGTCTGACTCCTCTTTGGATGAGCCATCCCTGGAGGGAGGTTCTGACCAACTATAGAAAGAGAAAGTATAATTATCAGAGTAACGTTTGCGGGATGACTCAAGAATACGTCTACCTCTGTCAGCAAATACAATTTTTAAAGAAGTTCTACCTAACCTACATTTTGGAAAAAAAAGAAAAGAAAAATGACCCAGACTTAGTCAAACATAATTATAGTTACAATTTACAATATAATCATCATCACATTAATGTTTGTTTTTCTTTTAATCCATGGTGGCCTTGAATCAGGTTTCACCATTTACTAAATGAATAAAGTCGTCTTCTTAAATTCCCAAAATATCAGAAACAAGGCTGAAAATGCCACAGTAGTTTTTGAAATCACAGTTAACGATGTTTGAATGTTGGGTTTCTGCTGGAGTATAAAAAGGTTCTCAGCGTTGCCACTTAAGCTGCAGACCTCACAGACAGGAAGCATCGCAAACTGAGGTTACTGACAAAGCATTATATCACAGTGGACAACACAGAGCTGTGCAAACAAAGGAAAGGCTAAAGTGCCTCTACCATGTGACAGGTTTCGATTTGGCTTCTTTTATCAGCTGAAAACAAGCAACTGACAGAAAAGTACTTTTATTATTAGAGGTGACGTACAGCAGAGTTTCAAGTCTGTTCCTTTTCACGTGACATTGAAAAGGAAAGCTAGGACCACGACACTGTGTTTCACACAATGAAGAAAACAACACAGTGTGCACTGCTCACCTTGCTCGCTGTAACGTCTCTGTTTGTGGTTGGAGGAGACGCTCCTCTGGACTTTGAGGTGGGAGGGCGACTGGCCGTTGAGCTCACTGCTTGGCCTCGGTTTGGCCAGAGACAAGTTGCTGCTGGAGGCCGAGTCGCCGGGCTCCAGCTGAGAGACAAAGGACACATACAGAACATACAAAAACCCTCAGTTTCTACAGTTTTACTACAGTGAATGTGATTTATGAGTCAAGACAGACCAAAAATCTAGGGCACATGATACGCGATCAAAAGAATTTTTGTGTACAAAGGATCATTTTAAAACTATTATTTCTGATGAGTGAGAAAGCTGTCATTTGTGAGCTTAGAGCTTCAGATGGCGACTTCAGACCCACTTTGTTTCAATTCCTGCACCTTTATTTATATCAGAACCAAGCCCTCATGGACAGTAAGGGGACTTACATGACTGCTTAATTAGCCGTCTGAAAAAAAATGCCCCAAATGCCAAATCTTTGACAACGAACCATTTCACATGATCAAATTTAAAACCATTAGGCTTAACAAACGGAAAAAAGCCCCCAAATGCTTCAAATCAATTATTTTAATGCACTTTAATATGTGGCGAGAGTCTGCAAACAAGGTAGAAGTCTATAAATAGCCGAGTCACACACTGGTTTACGAACCACTGATAGCTGAACGACTGAAGAACTAAGACGTTTGTTATGTTTGTACCTCAGAGGCCTTCCTGCCCAAGAGCAGGTAGGTGGCTGTGATCTCATCATACTTCATCTTGGCCAGAGACTCCTGGATTTCCTCCAAGTTGTAGCCCATCCCGACCATCACGTCTGCACAAGCAAAAATGATCAAAGGCTCAATTTAATAACCACGTTTCACGACACCACTGAAACTAAAAGGGACACTGTAGATACCTGCGATCATTGACGGTTCATTGGGGTCTACATTCACCACAAAGTGAGTGAGTGAGTGCTTAATTTTAGACCCTTTCACAGTGATCTCTGGCGATTACAGCACAAAACCAAAACATGACTATTTCTTTTAAAAAACTTGTTTTAAAGTTATGTGGTTATCAACTTTATGTCAAATCTATGTTATTAAACTGACTTCTCTTAATGTGATTTTGCACATTCAAGAATTGTGTGTGTTTATTCTGGTGACTGAGCCGTGCAGGTTTATGATCCCGTGATATGCGGTGGCGCTACAGCAGATATCACGGGATCGACTACATTACACTAGAAGTTTGTAATGTAGTCAAGCTAGACACGCAATGTCAGAAGCTTCAGGCAGTGAAGTTCAGCTAATCGACTTCCTGCCTTTCTGGTTCACCTTTGAAGCAAAGCAATGCTGACTGGAAAGGGTTTGGAGTGTGAGGACAACATTTTTTTCTGAAAGTCTAATCCGAAAGTTAAACTCAGACTACTTTTAAATTCCAAATCACAGCTGTAGTTGGGTTCAGAGCAGTCAGGTATGTAATCTGCTGTGTTTCATCGGAACAAATAGACACCTAACAAGTTTTTAATGAATGTCCACACATCAAAGCTGCGTGAAAAACGAGAAAAAGAGTCCCAACAAAGGAGAGATCATCATCCATCTCTGTGATTTGTGGGTGTAGTTTGATCTAGTCTTAAGCCAAACTTGAATCTGTTTCTAACCCTTACCTACCCTTTCAATGTTGGTCAAGCAGCAAAGACACAAGAGAATTGTCTCCACTCGCAATGTATGAAACTCAAATTTGTCCCCAGGAGACAGATTTACAGAGAAAGACATGCACAGCTTTGACATTAAGCTTCCTCATTGTCCAGGTCACATGTGTGGCAGCACACCAGGTAAAGCTGTACAGATCCAACATGATTTGTAAATATATTTGTGCATGTTTTGTTCATTTTAAAAAAAGGTACATGAATCTCTGCACACTTACACCGTGTAAGGAGTAAAAAGCAAATACCTGCAATGTAATTCATTAAATTGTAGTAGGAACACTTGGTTTTTCACTATAGCACTCATTTGTAAAGAAAAGGAAAAAAATGCAGCAATGTCGTCTGAAGTAATGGAAATATGACTTTGTTACGCCACCATGCATCACATGAAGGCTTTTTACACGCTGTGCAGTCTATAAATTTTTGAAAACGCTCTTCTATCTGAGACACGTTGGAGAGCTTTTTTATGCAGATTCCATCTTCAGAGATGGAGCGTCTGGTCTCCAAGGAAAGGTGTAGAAATGAGTCACCGGCTTCACAGTGACCTGTGATGGGCTCTGACTTCCTGCCAGTAACCGTTCTGTCAGTGCAGGCTGTTTGTGTCCGACAGGAGACCGTTTTTTAAAATCACACTCTTTTTAGTGCAGATGATGTGCTGCCGTAGCCAAAAATGTATTTCTCAACCACAAACTCAGCTGCCAGACTTGACAACAAGAGAGAGGTGTGACCGCTTCATCATCATTTCAGACTCTTTACACGGCATCCTCAGGGGTTTATGAATTGATTTTAAAATGTTACCTATTACTACTAAATCTTTTCATGGCTTCTCTTTCTACTACACTTCTAAAGGCTTAAAATGTACAATTTTCAGCACCACTCGAGGGTTTCTTTGTGCTTTAATGATTTTAGTTTTTGAAACAAAAAGCTCAGCACAATAATTTTAAAATATCTTCGTTCCTTTGTTAATAGCTAAGTATCTACTTCACCTGGGCACGAACACTTTGAGTCTAACACCAGGTTTCATGCGTGGGAAGAGAGAAAGCGAGCGAAAAACGAGCTGCGCCTCTGTAACCAGGCAGAACCACTGATCTGCCATCTTTTCCCGTCCTTTGTTGGATCAAGCTCATCTTTCTCACTTTCACACTCCTGCGTCCCAACACTTGTGTTTCCCTCTCTGATTCTCGGCTCATTAGATGGTTTATGGCTGCAATCTTTGACAAAATGCTCATAGCTGAAAGAAGAAAGGACATTTTAACACTTATCTGGTAACACTCTACCTAAGAAGAAAAAAGGATTACTTTCTAGGCTTGAATTATGTAACATTACTGGCTTTATTCATCTGTTAACGCTACTTTTTTAGTCATTCTGACATAGGCTACACAGGTTAGGTCAGTTATGTAAAAGTTCTGTGTGGCTATATTCAGATACACCAGGACCTTTAAAGGAATAAGAGCGCCTTGGTTGCCTCCTGATATTTAGCTATGAGCTGATCACGCTGTCAGTGATAGATTGTGCTTTTCCTTTTTTTCCCTAAATAATTCCCACTGAGCTCATTGCTTTTCACAGTTAATCAACACGGTATACTACAAGCACAGAAAATTAATCTAGAGAGGCATGTAATTCTTATGTGCTCAGGTTTAAAGCCACATATGCATTCATTCATCTATGCAGCTGGCATGAATCAAAACTAAAAATATCAAGACTCATGTCACTGTGGAAGAAGGAGAACGTCCTCCAGGTCTACTACTTCCTTACACGCATCACATAAAATCAGACATTTAAAAACTAAATGGTGAAAAATGTTTATCCAATAGTCCACCCATCCCCTACCCCAATAAATAAATATATCAGTTATAAAGTCAATAATGTAACAGGCATTTGAGGATTTGGGGCCTTCAAGGTTGAGGATTTCCTTTAAATTGATCAGCTAATAGTTTCACCTTTAAGCTGGCCTGTTCACAGTGTTTCCTGGTGTTAAGAAAATAAATTCTCTCTCTATTGGCCCTTGTGCTGCTGAAGCCTTTAGAAAAATTAGATGTCATCCACACTGAAAATTCGAAGCCTTTTCCTGTGTAAGACAGCATCTGCTCCACAATGCATTGTTTTCATTCAGTAATAATTTTAGGTAAACTTTTGCAGGCATTGTTTAGAATCCAGAGACTAGTCGGCAACTTCAAGACCTCATTCTCGCCCCTCCTCCATCTTTCTTTTTTCCGTTTTCCTGGGTGATGGGGAGTTCGCACCGACACATGTGCACCAACGGCCGACCCCAGCTGCAGTTATGCAAGAGCTTTCATCCAGGGCATGATGGGGAGGCTTCTCTGGTTCTCTTCTCTGCATGCAGCAGCGCTCCTCGAATTTATTTATTCATCGTCACGTTTCATCTTTTTTCCTCTTCAAGCTCTTCAGCACTGAAATAATGAGACTGCCTCTGCACTGTGGAGCCGTAACCCCACTAACGTTCGACATATCACGTCTTCTCACTACTGACGAAAATTACCGACTGAGCTTTTACAGTAATAATGGAGAAGGAGGGGGTGTGCACTTTTTTCTTTTGATTATAGAACAGTGTATATGACAGGCCTGAAAGTCAGAAAACTGACTTAAAAAGAACTTCAATGATGAAGCAATCCATCCTTCAAAAGGGGAAAACAAACAAGCAAAAAAGCAGTTACGATATTAATAGTAACATCAGCCTTACCTATTCTCTTCTGATCTGTGATGTCCAGCTCTGGTTCAGTGTAAGGTTTGAGCTCGTCATCATCAAATCCTGCATTGATCCATCGATCCTTCATAATTTGCTGTAAAAATAAAGACAGACAATTAGAACAGATGTGGCTACACATACGTAAGAGAAACAAACAAAAAACAAACGCCGACGGCACACATGCATACCACCGAATAAAAAAGGGCAATTTCCTTTTTCCCAACAAAAAAAGTTAAAAGGGTTTGGAAGCAAAAAAAGCAAACCTGAATAAACTGTGAGAAACTAACAGTTTGAAACGTTTGAGAGTGCTCAATCCTCCAGGTAAGGAAATCCCAAGAAAGGTGATCTATTCATCTGGACACCTTTTCAATGGGAGAAACTGGCGAACAATGGGCTGTGAGGCCACAGTCCATTGTTATTCAGTGGTGCTAGTTTCAGTCATTATGCAAACGTACTGTTTATAAGGTTGGAGAAACCTGCAGTCAGCTGAGACTGAGGAAGTCACTCCCACTGAAATTGCTAAGTAGTTCTATGATACTAGAACTATAACCTTTGTCTCAGCTTTAAAAAAAAAAGTGAATCAAATCAACATATATTGGGGCACCACAGCTCATGAGGTTAAACCTTTAGTAGCTCTTAAGGTGCATCTTCAAATATTATCTGGTGTTATCAGAAAAGGCTTAGTCCAACATAACTGGTGTGGACAGATGTTACAGTTTAACAATATTGAAATGAAATTTTAGTTCAAGTCTAAACTTGACAGATTTATATTTCTAACAATGCATTTAACATCCACTGTAATAACAGATCAAACAGTAAGTCGAGTGCGTGAGGCATTCCACTCAGGTTTGATTACAATTCAGTCCTTTCCCAGAAACACTACACATTGAACTGTGCTCCATCACATTTGCTTGCACCCTTATTTTATTTCGCTAATCAATCATCAGCTGATCAATTGGTCCCTGGGGTTTTACTGAGGACAGAGCCAAACTAATTATCACGCTCTGCTGTGGCTGCCATAATCCAGGTCAATCGTGTGGCATCAAACGCCAACAGATGTGACCCCGACATTCGAGCCAGCACTATTTATTTTAACTCACACACTGTCTGCTCTAAAGAATTCAGCAAAATGCAATCAAGCCATTTCCTTGAAATGAAAGGCGAAAATCAGCTTTGAGATTAAATAGCAAGTTCAGAGCTTACGTGCCAAAAATAACTGTGAAAAGAACGATTTTTCTTTGTGTGAATGATTTACTGCGGAGTGTGAACAGCTAAAAGATGATCATTCACACATTGATCTGTGGAACAATTCTCTGTCCTCTCTTCCTCTTACATTTAACACTTGGATTATTCCAACCACCGCAGATGTTCTGACGGAAATAAAAAGTCCAGGTATTTCTGCCATTTTCTGTCAATCAACTTTGGAAAACTGATTTATTTTTGTCCAGTAATATTTAACTTAGTATGTGGACTCTGAGGACACATAATGACCTTTAATGCTTTTGGTTAAGAGGTCAAAATTTCGTTTGGCTCATCAGAGAACATGCTGAAGTATGATCGTACAACACCGCTGTTCGTTATCCTCCTACTTCTGCTGGAACTTTGAAATGTACTACAGACACATTTCTACTTACACATGAATGTTTTTTTTAACATGTTTGCATTTACAGTTTTGTAGCTTTTGCTGCTCATCTATTATTTAATACTGTGACAAAAAGCACAAATGTTTCCTTAACAATAACTGGAGGATTTCTTGGACCCCAAATATTTGATCAGACAACATTATATGCTGCTCAAAAGGCAATGCACAATTACAAAAACAATGTAATGAAACTCATTTACAGTCAAACGGGCAATTTCATATTATATTTTGCTAACAGAAGAGTTTTGAACTCCTATTATGTTCACTTTAGAATCATGTGCCGATTAAAAGCCAAAGATATTTCACATGTCATCTATTAACCAGCTAATCCTCACATCCATGATGCTCGATGGATTTTAGGCATGAGCACATTTCTGGACACCAGATTTACTGATAACAGATGGATTGTTTTCAGCAATGTTCCTGTTAAGTTAAAGCAAAATGAAATGTACTCGTGAGGACTGTGTGCTGTTTCTACTCAAAGCGAACTGAAGTGTTCGCTAGCACACTGCACGTTTTGATCTTGCTTAAACCGGGAGATAAATAAAATGCATTAAAAACGCAGCTGTACTTTGTGCTCATAATGACGCAGACTTAAATAAGTAGGTTATATGCACCCTCTTGAAAACTGATGTATACTCGAGGCACAAATGAAGGCAGAGAAGTGATCACAGAAGACAATTTTGGCACAAACACAAAAACGTCGATGCATTATTCATGGTTACAACATCATAAAAGGAGGAGTAGAGTGTGGGCCGGGCACACACGCACAAAACAGGACGCCGTCGGCGTCAGAGGAGATGATGCAGTGGGGAGATGCAGGGACTGAGAGGAGGGGTTTGAGGATGGATGGCATTCTCCAATGGTGCAGACGTGCTCTGGGAGTGCGTTAAGAACTAAGAGGTATATTTACATTTTCTGCGTCCTCCCTCACCTCGAGAGTACCCCGCTTGGCCGGGTTGAGCACCAGGAAGCGTTTGAGGAGGTTCTCGCAGTCTGTGGACATGTAGAAAGGGATGCGGTACTTCCCTCTGAGCACACGCTCCCGCAGCTCCTGCAGAGAAGGATGAACGGACTGATCTCAGATCATTGCTAGAAGAAATGTAGGGGCTGGTTTGTAGACTGTAACATCGTGCATAAGCTTTACTTGAATCATTTAAGAGAACCTGGAACAGCTTCCACAGGATTTGCACCATATAAGCCCATGGTACAAGTGACACTAGACAGTACCAACAGTTATATATAACAGCATTTAAATGACAACTATGATTGTTTTTATTATCGCTTTCTCAGTTGCTCTAATTGGACTGCTAAATGTAAAAACATCTTGTAACCTAGGACCTCTTGTGTAACCTAGGATCCAATATAATAAGGTAGTCACTTTTATTTATAGAAAATATGGAGAAAGAGCATCATCTCTCTCCTTCTGCTATGAGAAAGAAGCTGCAGCATCATGTCATCCACACGCTACCTTAAGATTCTGTCCGTCAAAGGGCAGCGAGCCGCTGACCAGCGTGTACAGTATCACCCCCAGACTCCAAACGTCCACCTCTGGCCCGTCGTACTTCTTTCCCTGGAAAAGCTCCGGTGCTGCGTACGGCGGAGAGCCGCAAAACGTATCCAGCTTGTTGCCCAGAGTGAACTCGTTGCTGAAGCCGAAATCTGCGATCTTGATATTCATGTCTGCGTCGAGGAGCAGGTTCTCAGCCTTTGAACAGACAAACCAGTAACTTTTAGGCAATCTGCTGAGCACTGAACACTGGTCAGTGTTGGAGAGGCAGCCACATGAAGGCCAAAATGTTTAAATAATTATTTCTTCTGTATTGCTGTCATTCAGCAGCATGAAGTTTGTTTTTGATGATATTATTGATAGACTTTATTAGTGATTATTTTTTAGACAAAGCCAAACACGATAAGCACTTTTTCTGCCGTCGCTTGATTAATCATTTTGTCCATAAAGTGTCAAGAAAAGTGCCAAAAATCAAAAACCTGTTTTATTTATTTATCTACGAGTCCAAAAATCCAGGATTATAAGGCTTTAAAAAACACATAATTTCTCCTTTGTGAATGAATGAAGATTTCAACCCAGCCATCTGCTCTTTGCTGACATGTAGCTGTAGGCGAAAGACTAATTAGAAAGCTGAGATGAGTACACAGAGGACTCATCCTTCCAGCTGAAACACTGAACTGACATCCTGAGAGGCTTGCAGCTGCATGCAAACAGCACTCATCACAACATGTCTGACCGTCAAAATCTCAGCAGGTGTTGCTGCTGAAGCCACAAAAAGCCCAGAATTCCTCAGAGGCACAAAATGGCCTACAAGCCCGAGGGACAGTGTTTGGTTAAAATGTGGCTTGTATACCTCTTCTACATCGAGTGTGACATTTGGACGCGCGCTGAGCAGCTCCGTGCTGCTCTGTCATCTCCCTACTCATTGATCATTGATGAAGCTTCGCAGAGGAAACACTTTGGATGTGCAGCTGCTGGCAGAGCAGATACACGGGCCTCTCTTCTCTTAGCTACTCCCACTGATGCCGAGATAAAAATACAGAGGCATCAATATTTATAGTTGGAGAACTAAAATGGAGAGCATCACGGCTGTGAAACAGAAGAGGCGGGAGAACATGTAGACAATTTATAGGGCCACCTACTTTTTCTTTTTTTTTAACACTCCTCCCACCTCTATGGTGCAAAGATTTGTTTCATGGTGGCCATAGTGGCCAAGGACACTGTCGGAAAAGGGAAAAGATGAGCCTCACTAGCTGTGTGTGTGTTGGATTCATCTGTGGGAACATGGGAGTTAAGACGGGAATCATAAAACAGGGACTGATGTGACCTTTAATTCATGATGGACAGCAAACTCTTTAAAATCTACTGACCCTAATATAATATGTACAGTATATCAGCTTCTTAAATGTGAAGATTCTGAGGACAGAAAGAGGAGTTCAGATGGGGATCAAGTTCCTCAAATACTTCAAGTTGAAGTAGAAATACATACAATACAAATACCAGCTGGATACAAAAATAACAGTGATCCCTTTTAATCTGAATTAATGACTTTCAACTGAATGATGCATGATGCACACCACAGTGTGACCTTTAAAGGCTTTTGGATAAATACTGAAAATTCAAGTTCGATCTTTTTTTTTTTGCTGTGTTTGCATTTTTAACCACTCACCTTGAGGTCTCTGTGAACAATGTGCTTCTGGTGGCAGTACTGCACCGCCGATACAATCTGTGCCGAACGAAACACAAGTACAGCTTAGTTAAACGTTCTCAGACTGTGATAAAGGATGTGGTGTAGGAGGAGATGTGGTTGAAACTAACAGGAAAGATACAACTCAGCTAAGGTGGGGCTGACGACACCAGAGCGGTGAGAAAACAGGTTTGTGCAGTAGCTCTGTCGTACATTCGTCTGACTCGTGAGGCACGTACGAGTATTGCTAGTATCAGAGCACAAGGAGTTCCTTTGAGTGACACATTTTACAGCTTTTAAAATGATCATTTTTGAGTCTTTAGTTCCCTTCATTTTTAAGGCTTCAAGATTTGCACAGAATTTTATTTGTGTTGTCTTGAGAAACCAACACTACAAAACACAAAATGTTAGTATATCCACCAACTCAGATGCACAGAGTTTATAACTTAAACACTGGCAAAAAACACCAAACCGAGTTTTTTGCATGTTTTCAAACTGCATCAAGGTTGTGTCACAGTGCATTATGTGTGTAGTGCAATGAGCATTATCAAAACAGTTCATAAAGTAGAATGGTAACAGGGTGGGGGGTTACATAAACTTCTTCAACTGAAATTGCAGCTAGATCTGATTATCAAGGGATTGTTTCTCATTACACAATTTAAGATAGTTTTAATCTAAAATCTGATCACACCAGAGGCTGTTTCATTTATGATGCCAGATCACTGTCGTTCACTACTAATTAAACCAATACCAACACGGGCAAAAAGATACAGAGAGTCTGAGTGTTGAACATGAATACATAACAGCCAGGTGTTTTGGACCAGCTTCTTAGCACTTCACACAACAGTCGATGGCTTGTTTGTGACAGTCATGAAGAGGTAAGTGATGGGGAAGCAAGTCGGTTTAGACATCTCATCAGTCTCAACACAACAGAGACGCTTCTGTCCTCCGAGGACACACAGAGGACAGCGTCCTGTCTGAAGCACAGCCAGGAGCAGAGGTGTGAAACCAGAACACTGCAGGGGGAGAAAGCTGGGTACCTGTCTAAATTTAGCTCTGGCCTCTTTTTCCTTCATTCTTCCGTGTGCAACCAGGTAGTCAAACACCTCTCCTGCAAAAGAGCAGAAAGAGAGAAATTGAGGAAAACACTAAAAGTAGAGAATAAGCAGTGAGGAAAACGGATACGAAGAAAGTAGACAAACACAAAGTGAATCGCAGCTTCTAAAAATCTGCAGATAAAAATAACTTATACGCAGCTGGCCTGCACCATCGCCCATGTGCATGGTTCGAGGGCGTTTCTTGACCATATTGAGTTGAGCTCGGCAACGCTTCCTCCACACTGAGCCTCTCCTGGAGGCACAAAGCTGCCGCCGAGCTGAGCTCCACAGCAGCAGACCCTTCCCTCAGCCCACACGCACAACCAAAACGTGACTACACTCCCTCGTGTGTTAATTGAACTCGAGTTGCTGGTGCGTGCATGTGCACGCCCATACTCGGGTGATAGGAAAAAAAAAAAAAAAAAAAAAAAAAAAAAACAGAAAAAACCTCCCCCACTTCTCTTGAATCCTCAAAACCCTTCCGCGCTCTCGGCGCTGACCTGCAGAGGCGGCCAGAGTGTGCGATTCTGTACTTATAAGCATCAATTCATCAGCGGTCTCTGACTCAACCGCTAAAGACAGAATGAGCGTGCTGAAACTCTGCATGTCAGAGGTAAATAGCATGTCGTATGTTGTACATAAAGATGAGCTCCAGAAACAAAATTGGAAAGTACCAAGAAAACTCACAAAATACATCAATGTTCGCATTAATAAAAACTGCATGGAGAACAAAACTATAATTTTGTTGTCTTAAATGAATTTGAGGCACAAGACTGTAAGGCTTCTTAAATTCTGCCATCACTTTTCTGCACTATCAAATAATCCTGGGGCAACTTATCAAGTCGGACTCAGCCACAGTTAGAAAAGACGAATAGAATCAACTTGTCACTTTGTCATTCAGCACATACAGTTTTACAAATTTACTAATAAATCTAAAAAAAGGATCTAGGATATATACATGTAAGAATCTAAGAGAAATGAGCTGTATACATTATGGAAAAAATATACAAAATATCAGGACATAATGATATTGCACAGCAATAACAGCATTCCAGGTATGAAATTGCACTGCCCTAAATACACAGTCTCATGTGCATATATACTGGGGTGGGCAGTTTGGTTAGTTATTACACGCCACCTCTTTGCACCGAGTTTTCTGCTCTTAAACATCACACAGCAACTTACTGCCAATGGTAACACTAATATTCTGACACTAAGCAGGTATTCTATCATGATAACATTAGTTAAGCTGCACTTTTTTTCAAGCAACCTGACAGGGTCACCTTAAGATCCTGCATGACTTCTGAGAAAAATCAATGACGAACTGAAACAAGTATTAGATTTACGTCACTAAAAGCTAATGCAATTGGCCAGTGATCAGAGTTCCCATCTCAGTGATAATGTGATTTGGTACCCAACAAGCATGTCTTCACAATTTGTCGTCTCTGCTCAGCTCAGCAGTCCAATAATGAACAGCTCAAGCAATCGATGGAAAGATGTGGCATGACATGACATGAAATGAGAATTCAGAAAAAGAAAATTTCCCCCAGCTGAAGACTTCCAAGAGAAAACTCTTTGGGGGTCTTAAAGCTACATATATCTCAAGTTGGAGAGTAGGCATAGTTTATTGTAGCTGTTGCGTGCTCCCCTTCACTCCTCTTCATTCACTGCAGCACAAAACCCGACAACCAACTGACACCTCTTTCACAAGCTGCCTCAAGCAGACTGTGAGAGAAACCCTCAGCTATCCTGTGACCACGGCACCCACAGGCAAATGTATTTGGATGTCATCAGTGTTCGCAAAAGTATGTATTGAAGGATTGTTTCAAGGCTCTGAGTGACAGTTTGCACGCCCTAAAAGGTAGTATGACTGAGACTTTGATAAAGTAAGGCATGAGGAACTGTAGCAGCTGACCGTGTGAACAAGACCATAATCCCAAATTCACCTACAGAAACATTTTAATCTCCTTCATTCTTGATAAATCTTGTTCACTAAGGTTTTTTCTCTTGTCTTAGCTGAAGCTAATCTAAGAGCAAGTTAGTCTTAGCTTTTAAAGGATGCTTTTCCAACAAAGTCATTTATCCAGTGAACAACTGAAACTAATGTTTACTTTAGTGGAAGACAAAATGTTCAAATCGCAAACATGCAACACTGTAGGAACTTTCAGACATGCAGTGCCCCACAGAGCTGATGGTAGCTGACCAACATCTTTTTCCTGCTCTGACTCGTCTCCTGTGTGTTGAGTGGATTTGTTCATTTTCCGCATGGATTAATACTTATGTCACTATGTTTCAACTTTTGGGGAGTAGCTTTAAACTTTACATTCCTTTTCATATATACTGCATGTGGGATACAAATGTCTCAGAATGTGGCGATAGTTTCACGAGAGCTTTCATACAAGCATTTTGTAATTTTGGTAATAAGTATAAAAGAATGTGTTTGAACTCTACGTCTAATTAACTTATGTTTAAGTTAAATTTGGTAGTTTATAAATTATAGTAAATTTTCTGAGAATAAAAATATGTCAATGCCTATCATACAGCACTGCACAAAAGTCCGCTCATTTCTATACATTGCGGTAGGAAAATAGGTTCATTGCGTTAATAAAACATGCAAACATATAAAACAGAGTTTGTACAATTCCAATGTGCTCGAAAGCGAATATTTGGTGTGAACACCTTTAATCTTCAGTACAGCTTGAACTCTCTAAGGCAGCTTTCTTATCAAGTAGTGTTCAGGCTTCTTGAAGGACATTCAAAGCTCTACTTTAGATGTTGGCTGCCTTTTTGTTGTGCCACAATTCTTCAAAAATGTTGCTTTTCTGGCTCTGGGGAGGCCAATCCATGACTGATCGTGTCCCACTGTGGGTTTCTCTATCCAGATGTGCTTTTACTGCACTGGCACAGTTCTTATGATCACTGTCATCCTAAAAAATGAAGCCATTGCCAATCAGATGCTTTCCAGATGGCACTATGTGGTGGATTAAAATCTGACAGTATTTTTTTGAATTCATAATTACATCAATTTTACAAGATCCTTAACACCACTGGCTGAAATGCAGCCCCAAACCATGACACAGCCTCCGCCGTGTTTTATATACATTTCTAGGGCTGAACGATATATCGCATTTGCGATAATATCGCGACATGATCAAGTGCAATTTTCTAACCGCAAAGGCTGCGATTATACTCTGGACATGTCCAAATTCATGGGCTGCAT